ACTAGGAGAGTATCTCAATTATGTGAATTACTCGACAACCCCACATTTGTAACGACTTTTGGATGCTAGGCTAAGATCATTTACATAGTCAATCCCTACTATGGCTTTCCTGCTATCCCTTAACGACCTCCAATTTGTCATGAGGCACAAACCAGTAGAGGAGCAAAGATGATGATAGGAAGGGAGAGAGGACTTCAAAAGTATACACACGTCCACTGCGTGCTACCCTTCGGCTTCTTGGAAGGCTTCAAATAGATAGCTATATCTTCGCATCTAGTCATGATGTCGTTAGTAAGAGAGTTCTGCACACATTGATTGATAGGAATTTTTCATGCAACTACGCACCAGTAAATAACTTTCGTTTGGTTAGTTGTAGAGGGTAGATAAGGACTTTATAACGGCTTCTTTAAGTGTGTACTCAAATTAAGATGTATCAGGATAATGCTGCTGGAAAGAAGCCGTCAGGAAGGCACAGTTGGAAGGATGCTACCCGAGGTATTCGTATTATCCAATTTTGATTTTGATTTTTGATTTCATTTAGCCCGATTTGGCGCCCTATAGGCTGATGCAGATGTTTACGAACATTAATATTTACATAGAAGGAAACCTTGCAGTAAAAACCCCCCTATCTATCTTATTGGACTCTACGCAATTATAGTCTTACCTCCAGGAAGTGCAATCACACTGTTGTTGCCATTGTGGATTCCGTCTTTGTCCTGTGTTTCCATTTTCCTCTATTCGCCTGATTAACGCCTCGATTTCTCCGCTCATCCGAAACTGCTCTAGCCATCCTTCCTTTTGAATCCACTGTACAATTCTAGTCATATCTTTGACGTTATTTACCATAGCTTCGAAAGATCGAGTTGTCGATTTTCGCAGCAACTCACCTCTTCCCTTTGCCCACCTTTGACAAGATATCACCATGTGCTTTATATTTTGGGACGGATATCCACATTTGCAGTATGGTTTTCCTACTCCTGGCACGTTCCTTCTGTATAAGTAAGCATTGAGCCCAATGTGCTCGCTTCTTACTTGTGTGGCAATGCTGCTCTGGGCCCTGCTAAGGCGTATTATCCAATTATTGTTGAATCTATGGATTAGAAAAATAAATGAGGTGATAGTCAATAGCAGTTATTGATGTAGGGTTTGGTTGTTGGGCTTTCTATTATTTTGTGGTGACGAACCATGAAGTTCTTTTTTTTCAATAAAGTATACCTAAGAGTGTCTCTCAACGTTCCTAGTTTCCTTCTTACTCCTCACCTGATTTATACTGCAGGACAATCCGGAGGTCGTGAAAAGATGTCAGAAATGTCTTGGTAAAGAGTGATTGTCGTGAAGGAGCCTAGCCTAGCATCCAAAAGTCGTTACGGACGTGGGGTTGTCGAGTAACTCATGTATTTTAGATGCCCTCCTGCCTAGTATATTCGGAAGTAAGGATTAGAAGGGACGATATTTTTGACCAGTTGAAATCTGCTTTTCTTGAGGGCAGAAGGGTCTTTTACTCTGCTTTCGTGGGCTTTTTGTTCGCCCGCCGGTGGGTAGCACATGTTGTGATATAACAAGAGCTTCTCTGACTACCGTTGTAGCGTTTGGTACCGCATTATTTCCTCATTCCCAGCATCATTATCGTCGTCTTTGTCGTCTTATGTGATATTGGAAGCGTATCTTTGACAGATGGGAGATAACTCAGCTCAAAGTTAAAAAGGTGTTACTCAATTTCAGCTCTGCAGACTCTACATTGAGAGCTGGAGGTTCGTAGAGGACACCACTGACAGGTGTTGAGAATAGTCCCCATACACAGAAGGAAACCTATTCGGTAAATACCCCAAAAACTGTCTGACTCGTATCTATTGGTTCTCTGAGGTTTCAAACAGAAAGTGCGTTTACACTGTTCATACAGTGTGAATTTGTTAGAAATTGTCAAGGATTTCTATGAGGAAATATCTCGAAGAACAAGTATACAATTTCGGACAAGAATTTATTAAAAGTTTTTTGGTTTTGTGTTCATTATCCTGATTTGGCGCCCTATGGGCCCATGCAGGTGGCTATAAACCTATCTATATATTTACATAGGAGGAAACCTCTCGGTGAAAACCCCCCCAAGCTTTCTGATTTAATTCTTAGAGTTTGCAATTTATCCTTCAGGAAGTACAGTTACACTGTAACGCCGTCGATGTGTACCAATCACGTCCCTTCTATCGACCCCAACCTTCTTCATGTTACGTCTCGTTCCCTGAGCAGCATTTCGACTTTATTAGTCATGCGGAATTGTCCTATCCAACCATGATTAAGAATCCATTGTGTGATTCTTTTCATATTGCTAGCATCGTTGGTCATTGCTTCAAAGGAGCGATTTCGTGATTGTTTCCAGATTTCTCCTCTACTAATTGATCACTCAGGGCAGGACATGATCATGTGATTGGCATTTTGTGATTGGTAGCCACACGGACAACTTGCGTGATAAACTCCTGGTACATTTCTTCTGTGTAAATGAGAATTGAGCCCGATATGCTCGCTTCGAATTTGGATTGCTAAGCTACTTTGGGTCCTCGTCAGGTTTTGTGGAGAAAAAATGGCGACTCCCGGAAGCTTATTCTTGTACGTCCAGAATGGCGGCATTGGTAAAACTTTGCTGCTGCCCAAGCTTTAGGATCTGCTGAAGCAAATCTTTTAGGCTGTCGAGTTCGCTTTGTGGCTGACCAAGATTTCGCCCATTCTAGGTGCGCTGCAACTCTTATTGCTTCTTTTTGTAAGTCCTTGGATTTCTCCTCTCCGCAAATCTCTTTCCAGTATACAAGGTCTGCTCTTCTATTAATTTATTGATAGTTGTATAGGATATCGAACTCTCTTCTCATTATGAATTAATAACATATAGTATTCCGTTGACTTAGTTTAATATTTATAAGTAAGTTTATCCTTAAATACAGATACCCGAGGCTTTAGTGATCCCAAACTCCAAGTGATCTAGCAACAACCAGCCACTTGATTAACGCAAGGTAGCATTTCTTAGCCATTGCATTGCAGATACCACTGAACCTCATGTCGCCCAGCTAAGCTTAACCATGTGCAATCGGATCAATTGAATTGATCTTGATGATCATACTTAGAAATCTAAACCTTCATATATATTAAGTCTAGATTTCCAACAGTATTCCGTCCTATCCCTGTTCACATCGTCTCATCTTTCCGTCCAACGCAATTTCTACTTCTCCTGCAAGCCGGAATTGTTCAAACCAGCCTTTTGCCAGGATCCATTTTGTAATTCTCTCCATGTCATCTGGGCTGTTCATCATTGCCGTAAAGGACCTTTCTTCTGCCTTTCGAAGCACCTCTCCTCTTCCCACTGCCCACTGAGGACACACCAAGACCATATATTTGACATTTTGAGACGAATATCCACACTGTTATTTTGGATTAAACACTCCGGGGACTCTCCTTCGATACAAATAAGAGTTGAGATCAATGAATTCACTTCTTATCTGAACTGCAATACTGCTTTTGGCCCTACTAATGTTTCGGTGGATATTTGTGGGTGTGTTTCTATAGGTAATTCTTTTTCTGCCTGTTGTCTTATCTGTAAAAATATTTACAGCTCTCCAAATACATCTTTTCTTTTTCATTCTAATTGGGGGCTCCCTTAATTTAATTGCGGGATCCCCATTGCTGGTTCACCAGGGGGGGGGGGGGCACTTTGCATCTTACAAAAGAAATTTAAAAATAAAAGCAATCAAGCCACAAATTTCAAAATCATTTCGTTCATATCTAATACCAAGATCTTCGTCAAATTTATATAATACCTATTCATTCAATCTTTGACTCTCCTAATCAGGCCATTCTTCTTCACTGAACCATTTTAGAGTTGCAATGTGAGTATCCCTTAGGTATTCTAGTGTCAATTTCATTCCCTTGGTTGTATTGAAAAGTAATTCCATGGTAGGTCTTTGCACTCCTAGGTCCTCCAATAATTTCTTTCTTTAAATTTTGTACTTGATACATTTCAGTATTAAGTGTCTAGGTGTTTGCTCGGCTGCTCTATTGCAATCACAGTGACCTGTGCTATGCCTCATTATCTTGTACATATATACTCGGAAATATCCATGGCCAAGCTTTTGTTGGTAAACAGAGCTTACAATCTTTCTGGGTACTCATGCAGATAGAGGCATTCGCATTTATGGCCTGTAGATAGAAAGTAACAGCATGTCTTTATATGTTCATAGACTAATTAGGAAAATAAACATAGCCATTAAAACACGAGCTTAGCCTGGAGAGATCTTCTGTGGGATTAAAGTTGAAATAGTATGGTACTGTTACAAAATTAAAACAAAGCGTTACCAATAGATGGTTACTTGAAGGGTTTGAAGAGAAAGATAAAGGTTCCTTGAATACATTGGTGACGCTGAAAGCAACGAAAGATTTTTTTATACCTTGGCCAGGTCTCCATAAAATTTAATGCCTTCTCTGATCCGATCAATAGATTTACAACAATTTACATCAACTTGTCTACAGTATTAGAAATTGCGATCCCTGACAACTGTACCACACACATCATTAACGCTATCGCACATTTCTCGACAATTGCATCAACAAAGAATATGTCTATTCTTGTGATATTTCTTCCGCATCCATGATTCGTCTACATTATGAAGCCCAGGGAAAACATGCAAAGATTCAGGAAATGACACTTAACTCAAAACATGGGTGCTTACGGCCAGTAGGCAGAGTAGGGTTCAATGTCCTTTCACTGTTGCAGGCTCACGGACAATGAAATACGTAATTTCAAAAGGGGAAGGACTTATGTTTATCTTACCACCACTCCTGTTGTGGTAGTACTGATCATCACTCTGACCATAACGATACCTAATTGTACAGACTTCAGACATCACTCGGGTTTTTCCATCTTCCTCAACTTCTCGGCAAGCCCATGTATTTGGGATGAATAATTCATAACTAATCACATTTATAACTTTTGGTTCGACCCCCGTGTTTCAACCCGCGCGTCGATGACTCACATTTTACACAATCATCCAGCTTCAGCTATGCCCATTGCAAGTGCATCACCACACATGAGCCAAGCTGCGCCAGCAGACAGCTTAAATTCTTCATCCCCCCTGAAGTCCTCAGTTGTGCGTTCCCAGACAGCGGAGATCGATAATACTATTATTCACCCTGGCGCAGTGAAGATCAATGTCAAAGGGGCTTTCATTGTCGACCAAGATTCCACAATACCCAACGCAAATCATGCGGCCGCAACGGCTAATGGGGGCTGCCATGATACCCAAGATATCAGACTGCCAAACCACACGGCCGTTGTCAGCCACATTGCAGTAGATGTGAGCGCTCCAGTCTAGTATTAGCCAAGTCGTCTCCTAATCTGCCGTGCGTAAGATTGGGGGCTCTCTAGCGAAACTGGTCTACTTTTCGCGGGAGTTACACTCACGAGAACCAGGAGGTCGCCTCAATTTTATTAATTTCGAGACGGAGCACATAGATGACTGCGTTGAATTCATGAAGCAGCTGAAGTTGAAGCAACAGCGCCTTAATGGATCACGGCCCGGCGAACTATGCGTTATGGCAACAGGTGGAGGTGCCTATAAATTCTATGACAAGATTAGGGAGGCTTTAGGGGTTGATGTTTTGCGTGAAGACGAAATGGAATGCCTGATCATCGGTAAATCTCTCCTGTCTGAAAAATCTATCAAACTAAATGAAGTATTAGGGCTTGATTTCTTCATTACTGAAATACCACGCGAAGTCTTTACCTACAGCGAATCAGACCCAATGCGCTTCGAAGAGCCACGATCTGATATTTATCCTTACCTTCTTGTAAATATTGGCTCAGGAGTAAGCTTAATAAAGGTCTCAGGGCCTCGAACTTATCAGAGAGTCGGCGGAACTTCCCTCGGAGGCGGGACACTCTGGGGTCTTCTCTCACTTCTCACCGGCGCAAGAACCTTTGATGAAATGCTAGGGATGGCTGAGCGCGGCGATAACTCCAACGTTGATATGTTAGTGGGTGACATCTATGGTACAGACTATGGAAAAATCGGGTTAAAGAGCAGTACGATTGCCTCATCATTTGGTAAGGTCTTCAAGATGAAGCGTGAGGCAGAGCGCGAAGCAGAAGATAGCGGTGGTCTCACAAATCGAGATTCATTTTCTGATTTCTCGTCACCACCTTCCTCCCCAGCCTCTGCTAAATCACCCTCTTTCTCAGCCAACGATATATCTCGGTCTCTCCTCTACGCTATCTCCAACAACATAGGCCAAATAGCTTATCTACAGTCAGAAAAGCATTCGCTCTCGACTATCTACTTTGGTGGATCATTTATACGTGGGCATCGACAGACGATAAACACATTAAGCTATGCTATCAAGTTCTGGAGCAACGGCGAGAAAAGAGCCTACTTCCTTCGTCATGAAGGCTTCTTAGGTGCTGTCGGCGCCTTTCTCAAACGCCAGCCGCCCAACTGGGGCCGACGAAATAGTCTAGAGGCTGAGGTTAGTATGCATTTTGGAACTGAAGCTAACTCAACAGCGCCCACTAAGAACAATTTGACCTCGGACCATGCGTGAGTAAGTTCCATTTGAGCCGAGATGCTGCCATGATCTATGAAGCAACAATATATGGCGTGACGGAACTCACGAAGGAAAAGCAAGTCGCATGTGCGACATCATGGCTATAGGCTGATGAAGTCTGCGGCAAGTAGGGAAAACGGAATCACAATGCACAGGCTCAGCCCGCTCAGCTCGAGCCGAGTTGACTCACGTTATGACGTCCCCTTCGGTAGTAGGCGCTACTTATTCCAATTGGAGAGTGGCCTGTTATGTCGATCCGTTGCCTTGAGTGTCGATCTCGGCTCTTACTGTGATTTGGTACCACAGGGGCTCATTTATTGTGCCTATTTTTTTATATTCAAAGAGTGTAACATCGTACCCCCGCACAACATAGGAGCTCTTCACGCAGCTGTTAGTGTCAGGAAATCTTGCTTAGTCAGCTTGTTACTCGAGTCAAAGCTCACACCCTCGGTACGTATCCTACATACACCGCTATGTAGTATCATTTTAAATCATATGTTTTCTGTAAACCGTATCTTGCCCTCTGCATATTCTCGTCCTTATGAAACAATTCCCCAAGTATCCCAACAGGTATCCAGTCAACATAACTACCTGAATTCTAGTACGAAAACGCTATTGTAACCAGCTCGTACGAACAGAACACACACTAACTATTTTTTCTTCTGCCACATTTGGTATTACAAGGCTAAGCTTCATAACACCTAAAATCTCATTCCTAGTATATTTTAGTCTGTTGCTTTAGAGAGCAGTGTTTATGCATTTAAAAGCTGGATGCGAGTTATGGAGTTAAGCCCTGCGATGCTAAATGTGGCAAGGGAAATGATGGTCGGGGTGTTTGTCCTTTCCACATGAGCTGGTTAGGATAGCGTTTTCGTGCTGAGAGCTCCAGTAGTATTCTGCGAAGTCTCCACGTTCAGACCGTGCCGTTTGTAGATATCTGGGCGTGCGGCCTCGCAGACGGGCGAGCTCAACGGAAACATTAGTGGTATCTCCAATACCTAATTCTTTATATCTAAATGGAGAGTTTCATTTATTCGTTTCTAAGGTCTACCAAGCTTTCCCTACAACTGCAGTCCCATCCCTGTGGCGATATGGTGACTACTAAATCTTTATTGCGATGAATTTTGTGAAGAGGTAGAAAAACTTTAAGGAATCTCTCAAGATAATGCGAGTGCGGTACAGCGAGCCCCTCAGTTGAAACATGTCAAACAGCACGGATTGGGCTGAATTCCAATAGAAATCTGGTCCTCCCATTGTAATTATGAGAGAGGGATTGCATGTAAGCAGTAGCTTTAATACTACATGTGCTCGACACTATTCCGAAGACGATGATGTGTTCAGTTAAGACTCGTTATATCGACTGTTGCTATCTACATAAATCAGAATACTCCTATTTGTACCTATGGTTCATCAATCTACTTGCTAGTAGGATATTTTATCCTGTGATGTAGAATAATCTACGTTCTTAGGGGAATATTCTCAACACCTGTCAGTGGTGTCCCCTACGAACCTCGAATCGTCCCGGTGTCTAGGCCTCGCCTGGCTGGGGCTACAGGCTTTTTCATTCGTATTCTTTTGGGGTAGAAGGGCCCATGGAAAAGGTGGCTGGATGTCACGGGTAGTCTCTGAGCTGAATGGCTATTCGTGATGGGCAAAATAAAAATGATCTTACAAGTAACAAAAGAGGAAAGGAGCACTGTACAAGGTGTGGCCTGAGTTGGAAAGTACTGTTTTTTATGGATCAAAAGGTTAATGGGTCGAAATGACTGGAGTAAGAGCTTTGTAACTATGGATTTGATTGGTTTTGTCTTCATGTAGGCCCATGTCTAGTTCGTCTACTAGTTTTGCGAGCAAAGGTAATAACCAATGATATTCCGTGAAAGTCAAGACTAATAGGGTCGGTTTTCGACTGTACAAGAAAACTATATGGGTCTTCTTTAAAAAATTAAAACATCAAAAAATCAATTGATATTTTCTAAAAATACACATCTATTTCAAACGTAATTGCACTCTATTATAGGAATACCCATCGAGGCTTTCAGTGTGGCTTGCAAGTATAATGAAAGAGTTCTACATGTTTTGTATTATTCTGCTCCATCCTGATACTTTGTGTACCTTTCACTTGCCTTAATCACCGATACACATATTTCGTGCATGTTAACCGCACTTAACAGAGACTTCTCCCGAGCAATGCGTCTGCTGTAAACTCTTATTTTTTTACGGCATTAGAAAGTAAATGCTCACTGCATCCCCAGTGGCTGAAGGGTCCCATCACTAGTTCCAAATAGCTCATCTACCAATTTTCAGTAGATACCCGCACGAAAGCATCAAGCTCATCAACTTGTTCCACGCTTAATTTTGGTGAGCGTCCTTTGCGAGTTATAGGATTCTCGTCCTCTCGAGCACACGCAATTTGCACTCGTCTTATTGTGAAGCCAAGTTCGTCGGTTATATTTTGTGTTGTCAAGTGTGACGAAACCAAGCTGGTTGTAGTGTACTTTTAGAAAGATTAAACTATATGAAGAGAGAAGTACCACATCTACAGGCAATGACTATTTGTACATCCTCCTAGCTCATCCAGTACGTACTCTGTTGGTGAGAATCACATATTGCTCCGCCACTGCCCGTCGTCATCTTTGCCATCTAGCTGACTCTCTCACTTGGCAATTCTACTTCGCCGTCTCACATTCCTTCCTGGCTCCAATGTAATGTGGCCAAGTGAAACTTAGTCGTTTGATACAAGATAATATGTAACACTCTCCCTAATACGCCTCCAAACTTCGCTTAGGTCTCCATCTAAGCCAAACCACGGTCAAACCATAACATCAAGCCAGTTCTTCTTAATGTTCTTGTTTCAATACATTGATCGTCAGTTAGCCGCTACTAGACTTTGGTTTCAGAAGCAGACTTTTCAAGAGATATTATTCGCTATATTGGAGGATGAATTAATAGTGATGTTTAGAATCAAGGGCTTTGTTGGTTGGACAGTCAGTGGTGTCGTTGAAAATACATTTCTTTTACTAATCGTTTGAAAATGACGCTTGGACCATAGTTAAAGGCAAGCGGGGTATTTAGGAGATACGTTCTAACCTATTGTAAGCTAGCCCAACTGCGCCTGCGGGGCTAATCCCATAAACAGCCTAGCTTAAAGTCCTAAAACTTTGGCAGCAGCAAAGTTTTACCAATGCCGCCATTCTGGACGTACAAGAATAAGCTTCCGGGAGTCGCCATTTTTTCTCCACAAAACCTGACGAGGACCCAAAGTAGCTTAGCAATCCAAATTCGAAGCGAGCATATCGGGCTCAATTCTCATTTACACAGAAGAAATGTACCAGGAGTTTATCACGCAAGTTGTCCGTGTGGCTACCAATCACAAAATGCCAATCACATGATCATGTCCTGCCCTGAGTGATCAATTAGTAGAGGAGAAATCTGGAAACAATCACGAAATCGCTCCTTTGAAGCAATGACCAACGATGCTAGCAATATGAAAAGAATCACACAATGGATTCTTAATCATGGTTGGATAGGACAATTCCGCATGACTAATAAAGTCGAAATGCTGCTCAGGGAACGAGACGTAACATGAAGAAGGTTGGGGTCGATAGAAGGGACGTGATTGGTACACATCGACGGCGTTACAGTGTAACTGTACTTCCTGAAGGATAAATTGCAAACTCTAAGAATTAAATCAGAAAGCTTGGGGGGGTTTTCACCGAGAGGTTTCCTCCTATGTAAATATATAGATAGGTTTATAGCCACCTGCATGGGCCCATAGGGCGCCAAATCAGGAAAATATATACAAATCAAATCAAAAAGCCTAGTTTAAAATTACTCTTTTTATCTCAGAAGAACTGTAACCTAATGTGCTAGATTATCTAAGACTCAAGTAGAATAACAAACACATCTTTCCACAGTCTTGCTCATCTCATTATCATACAACTGAGGTTTATTGCGACGTTAGTAAGAACAAAATGATAAATGTTAACACTGAAATTCACGGATATCTCGTGGCTCCGAATACGACAATATTTATGTGTGTAGAGCTTGGGAAAGAGAGTTGTGTTTATTGTACTACTTGAGTCTTAGACCTTCTAGCACATTGGGCTCCTCCCTGGCCCAGGCCGCACCTTGTACAGTGCTCCTATCCTCTTTTGTTACTTGTAAGATCATTTTTATTTCGCCCATCATGAATAGCCATTCAGCTCAGAGACTACCCGTGACATCCAGCCACCTTTTCCATGGGCCCTTCTACCCCAAAAGAATACGAATGAAAAAGTCTCAAAAAGCCTGTAGCCCCAGCCAGGCGAGGCATAAAGACTGGAGACCCATGAGGTGCACATATTTTTCTATACCTCCCTTTGTAACATTGGAAGCCATCTTGGCCCAATTCACCATCTCCGTATCGGGTGCTGGATACGCTCCGGAAACTCACCGGATGGCTTTTCATCCATGATCAAGGGTTGGTGATGATTAGGGCTTCGACCCAACCATCTGATCTGATCGTGGTTAGCTTCATGATAATGGTGATACGGGAATATGTTGAGAGATGAAGACGTTTCAGATGGCGGAAGCGATTGGGAATCCTCATCGAAGTGAGGGTTTTGTTACTCAGTCTCGGCTTTGCAGACTCTAAAGTGAGAGCTGGAGGTTCGTAGGGGACACCACTGACAGGTATTGAGAATAGTCACCCGATGATATGGGTTAATCAGTTCTCATGGCGGCAATGCATATTATTCTAACATGTCTGTTTGTCTACTGCAGTCATGTTGCTGCCTTAATTACAAAAAGTAATACGTCGCCCACGGCGGCAGTTTCACGCGACTTCAATTGCAAGAAGGATCACAGCACCATTGAAGGATCTGTGAAGTGTAAAGGAATATCTGATAACCGCAACCTCACTCAAGGACTAATTGTCAGCGATAACAACTTTGATAAGTTTGGTCGACACGTTAAGGCGTTGATCACCCTGGGACCTTTAAGTAGCGTGGCTGATA